TCTCGCATGCGCATGTCAAGCGGGCGTGTAGCGACTCTCTTGCCAGCGTCTAGAAGAAACAGTGTTCGTCTCTCATCGTTTCGAACGCGACTACAGGCGAAGCTTATGAAAAAATGATGCCACCGAGTTAGCCGAATAAGTACGTCACGTCGGATCGCACTGCTGATTGTGAGGAAGACATCCGGATCCGGTTCTCGTCGTCGTGAAACTCCGACAACATACTCAACTAGGTTGAAATATGTTTAGCGCGCAACTTCTGTCGGTGTATGGATACATGAGCGAGTCATCTGTGACAACACGTCTTCCGACAGAAATATAGGGGTTACGTAGGACGATTGACACTCGCCTGGTATGATCTAACGTCACAGCTCTGCGCGCACAACGGTAAAACAGCATATTTATTTTAACGATTCGCTAATTACTAGACGAAGGTATATTAATATGAATCTATATACGACCAGTTATTCATCTTATATATGCCCAAAAAATAACTCACCCCCCTCCCGATTTCATCCGTGTTTCAATTTAACCCTCTCCCCACGAAATCATCTTTCCTCCCCTACTCCTCCTCCTCCTCCCCGACTCCTCCTCCTCCTTCTCCTCTTTCTTCCCCTCTTCCTTCTCCCCGACTCCTCCTCCTCCAGGAGTAGGTAGTGGTGGTGGTGGTGGTGATGATGGTAGTGATGGTATGACGAGGAGAATGAGAGTAACGATGAGTGTTATCGGGGGAGGGGAAGGAACTGAGATGTAGGTGGAGTCGGCAGGTGATGTAGGAGGAGGAGTCGGAGAGGAGGACCTCATCCTCCTCTTCCTTCTCCTCTTCCTCAACCCCTCCTACTCCTCTCTCCCTTCTCCTCATCCTCTCCTTATTCGCCCTTCTTTTACCCCTCCGCCTACCCCTCCTTCGTCTCCCCTTCCCACCTCCTCTTCCTCCTCCCCTTCCCCTCCACCTTCTCCTCTTCCCTCATTTATTCCCCTCCCTTTCTTCTCCTTCTTTCCACCTTCGCCCCTCCGCCACCCCCTCCGCCTACACCCTTCTTCTCCCCTTCCCACCTCCTCTTCCTCATCCCCCTTCCCCTCCACCTAGCTTGAATGATAGCGAAACCTTTCGAAGAAGCTCTGCTTGCTTCTCATCTGTTGGACCGCCAAAACTCGCAGGCGCCGATGTATAGGAACAACGGAAATATATCTTCTCACGTTAACTGGGCGAAACTGGCGTGGCTCGAACTTCGTGCACACCTCCCGTCCGTCTGCAGTACTTTCGTGTTCTCTCCTCTTCGTTTAGTCATCTTCCCCGCCGGATCTTATACGACTCTTTTGCCCTCTCGACTCTTTCTCTACGTGTTGGCAACCATAGACATATATCTCTTCTTCCACTCTACTCTCTTTTTCTTCATCACACACATCTTACATCACTGCCGCTTCTGCCGGTCTCACGCGACAGCCATCACAACATCCTTTCTCTCCTCACACACACAATCACACACAGTCCTCCGCCCCACAACACACACACACACATTATACACACACCTCGCACTGACACACAACACACACACACACACACACACACAACACACCACACAACACACACACATACAAGCCACACGAGCACACAGAGAGAGAGAGAGAGAGAGAGAGAGAGAGAGAAGAGAGAGAAAGAGAGAGAGGAGAGAGACAGAGAGAGAGACAGAGAGCAGTCTCTCTCTTACTCTCTCTCTCACTCTGACTCTCTTTCTCTGTCGTTTATATTCTCGCTTTTCTCTCTCTTTTGTTCCCAGCGGCAGGGCGCTCTGTTTTCTTCCTTTTTTTTTTCCTCTCTCTCTCTCTCTCTCTTTCCTCTCTACTCCTCGTCTCTCTCTTTTCTCCTCTCTCTTCGTCTCTCTCCTCTTCTCTCTCATTCTTCCGCCTGCATCTCCTATCATCCTATCTTAATAAATAAACCACCGCACCACGGTCACGGAGTTTATATCTCAGTGAATGCTGTATACGAGTGGTGATCCGCTTTTAACTACACTTCAACAGAGGACAGGAGTCCGTAATATTTGTCAATGAAACGATGGACACTTGATGTAAGGCGGAGCGAGTTGTGAAAAGCCAACGTAACAGAGAGCGGCGATTAGGACGAAATCGCACGCGCCGCGTGCACGCACAAGAGCAGCGGTTGGCGCCATTCGTGCGCTAACACCGCCTAGTCCCCGCCTTAACGGCCCGCCGCTTATGTATTGTCGAGCGGCTGCCAAAACTGCTCCATGTGTGGTGTGTGTGTGTGTTGTGGTGTGTGTTGTGTGTGTGTGTGGTGGTGTGTGTGATATGCTGTGTGGGTTGTGGTGGGTGTGGTGTGCACGCGTGTGTGATGCAATATGTAGTGTCATGTGCCGTGCGTGAGTGCATAGCGTGTCATTGCGTGCCGTGTGGTCTGTGCAGCGCGCGTGGTTGTGCTAATGTGTGTGTGGTGTTGTGTGTGTGTGGTGTGTGTGTTGTGGTGTGTGTGTGTGCTTGTGGTGTGCTGTGTAACTAAATGTGCCGTGGTGCGTGGTGCGTGGGGTGCGTGTGAGGCGTGTGTGGTGTAATCGGGTGTGTGTTGGTATGTTGCGTGCGGTGCGTTTCGTGCTGTGGCGTGGCGTATGCCGTGTGCGTCGCGCGATGGTTGAGTAGTGCGTGCCGCCAGCGTAACGTAGTAATAAGACGGAGGAGTAAAACTATTACGAGCGGACGACGAGAGCATCAGGGGGCAATCAAACGACCCGCGGGAAATTTGAGCCGGTAGCAAAAACATCGCAACCACACTTCCGCGGGCTAACACGCCCGACTCGCACGAACGGGTATGCTTGCCAGTGAGGATACTAGTAGTAAAGCCCCGCAAAACACCACGGGTTCTATGAAGACGGCGAACCGTTGCAATCGGAAACGACGGGCCGCATTTAACCGGGTACCTGATGACGGCTTCGGCTTCGATACAGCGAGACATAACGCCAAGCATCACCCGTGTAAACTTCCGCGCCACAATGGCCGATCACGGCGGCGGAGCTTTGTTGCGACCGTGCGCTGCAAAATTTGCGAGCTTGGACTGAAGCTTTGGATCGAATCGGTAGTGGAGAAAGGGAAGTGGAGGAAAAGGCGAAAGGAAGGAAAGCAGGAAAGAGAAGGGGAGAGGAAAAGGGAAATGAGGGAAGAAGAGAAAGTGTAGTGGAAGGGGAGGAGGAAGAGGAAGGTGGGAAGGGAGAAGAAAGGAGGGGATAGGCGGAGGGGTGAAGGAGTGGGCGAGGGGAAAGAAAGGAGGAGAAGGGAGAAGGGAAATGAAGGGAAGAGGAAGAAGGTGGAACGGGAAGTAGGGATGAGGAAAAGGAGGTGGGAAAGGGGAAGACGAAAGGAAGGAGGTAGGCGGAGGGGTAAAGGAGCAGGGCAAAGTGGAAAGAAAGGAGAAGAGGGGGTGGGGAGGGGAATGAGGAAAGAAAGAAAA